AGATGTGTATATTTTGTCAGCGCACACACAGTGACAGTGGCTACTACCAGTTATTTATCCGACTAATTTGCTGCTCTGTGAAATACGTACATGTCTGCGAACATGAATCTGTTGCATTGTAGGTATATTCTATCCCATCAACGGCCAAATCTGATTGAAAGAATGACAGTGTACTCGATTGGTTAGTTGGTTTTCCGGCGGATAGTAACATCGGTACGTCGTCTGAAAAAATACATTTAAAAAAAACAAACCGATATTTTACTGCTTGTAATATGTGCTTTACAAACAAGTACACAGTCTTTACCATTACCAATGCAAGATCGCAGACTTTGATCACCAAAAAGTGTATTGAAAAAAAAATTCATCCCTACTCCAACCATGGCGGTATAAAAAAGATCCATGCTCCAACCAATTGGACAAACTTGTTACTTGTTACTTAATTGTTATTTGTATAGCGCCTTTCCTTTCAGTTACAAAAGCCTGATCAAATATTTTATGTAAATTTGGACAAACAAAATAACGATAATTTGTGCCTGACTCAACTGCGGTATATATTAAATATTCTTTGTTTAATAAATATATTGGAAATTAAAAAAAGAACCAACTGTGAGCAGTCGTTAAATTCTCTCTTTTGGTTTATTTCAGAGCTATTACTTTTAAACCATCAGTGGATCAGTTGATATATTCCTTAATAAGGATTTCTTTTCAACTGTTTCAAAATTATTAGTAGAATATCTGAACAATAACCTGACTTGATGGCGGTCCAATTTCCGAAAAATCCTTTTCCCTGAGTTTGATCGTCTGTCCGAAATATCATAATCAATCGATTAGTTGAGGACGTCTGTACGGGCATATATTCACCACAAAACCTAGAATGTGTCCTTGAACAGAATCATTTTGAATGACTTTACATGATGCTCCATTTTATTACGAATATATATGCTACAACAATTAAAGTTTAATATCCATATGAATCGCACAACAGTATACTAATAAACAGGATACAAATCGATTTGAAAATGAGCTTTAAATCAAGGATTCCGTATTCAATGCTAATCTAATTAATGACTTTTAGAAGGCCAGAAGAAAATATCGATAAATATGTAGATTAAAAATTGGGAACTAGTATAAAGTATGCAAACACACACACACACACAACAAAAACACGAAATTATTGACGAAGGTATAGAATGTTTAAACGAATGTCAACGTCAACTCACGTATTGGTTTCTTCACAGTTATCAACCTGTACTTCTACATAATCATTAACACAATTTGGACTATATTCGACATCGAACGCTTCCATCCATATCTGTACTCTATACTCGTATCCAACCTTAAAAAATATACATATCAATGTTAGCATTCTTATTTCATCAGTGGTGTACCGTATTGGGGGTGCGCAGGACCGCCAAATAATCTCACGCCCCAGCTGCTCCCTTAAAATTTCGAAGAAAAGAAACTACGCTCAAGTAGTTAAAAATCACCTTATTTTGCGAGCTTAGCGCCCCTTACTTAATCATCTGCTCCCACTTAACCTTCGAGCTTTCCCAACCCTTCCCCCCGCCATCAATCCCCTCTTCAAGACTTTTGATACGCTAATGATAGGCCTATTTCATGTGACAAGCTTGTGTGATACACTTATTGGCATGATGACATCATTATCACATTCAGAGTTGTGCGTTCGGTTGAGCGGTATGGTTCCTGACTTTTAAGTTGTAAGCCCGGGTTTTAGGTTCATGGAATTCGGGTCTAACGCACAAGCAAGGGTCATCCGGCCGTTACGTTTTGGTTTGTAGTAAAAGTTGGGTGGGACAGCTCTGCACAGCTGCATGTCTATCTGAAAAACCACTGCCCAACTTTCTACTTTTAAAATTTAATGAGAGGAATAAAGATTAATTTTAAATATAGGCCTATATGAACAGGATGATGTCGTTGACACCCATTATGGGCGAATCATTTGCAATTTTGTCGAATAAAAAAAACCAAAAAAACTAATGTGCATCATAAAACACAGGGTGATATATAAGGATATTTACATTTTAAAGGAACGGAGAATGGATTAGGATCCATCATTAAAGCTCGAAGGACCAAAATTAACAAAAAGAAAAATAGATAGCTGTTTTGTCTACAAAGAGGCAACACAAAATACGTGCATACTGTTTGAAAATACTATATTCTTAACCATTATATTCAGTAATATTAAACCAATACACAGAATTACTTTGAATACCATGAAAATCAAATTGATGGATGCAGAGATTCACCGCTTAATTAGTTCTGCCCTTGAAATTATTATTATTGTACACAGTAATCGAACAATAAATAAATTATAACACACAATTGTGCTCTGACATCCATATCTTACAATTTCTATGATTACCTCAAGGAATCAATATATCGACCTGAAATTTAGTGTCATTTCGAAATTACATTTTCATAACGAATGTGATGTAGGCAAAGCGACAGAAACGGCACTTAGGCCGATTATTCATATATGGTACACACCGGTAGGTTTTTAATACATGACAGCTGTCTGATATAATGTATTATTATTCATTATTATACAGCTTAAACATATTAGCAATTGCGTTTTGACATCCGTACCTCAAACTGTAAATGATTAGGCCTACCAAATGAAATACACTCGATCTGAAATTTAGTGCCTCTTTAAAATTCAACGAATACTTAAGACAACTTGATACAGAAGAGTACAGGTTGGCTTACAATGGCGTATGGAGTATTGAAATGGGGGATGATGGGGAAGTGGGTGTGAAGGCTAATTGGGGCATCGATGAGAGCAGCTTAGCTCAGCCGGCTAAAATGGTGGTGGCCACTGTGTGTGCGCTGAACCGTAGCGATATCCTGGTCCCCGGTTCAATTCCCATCGCCGCTCTTATTGTACTTCAGCTAGAGGGATGAAATACAATTAAGATGGCGCACCGTCCCGGACGAGACGTTTAAGCCGTTGGTCCCGTGTGCATAAGATCCATGTGCACGTAAAGAACGCAGCGCACTCTTCGGAAAAGTGTAGGGGATTGTCTCTCATTGTGCTGCCCAATCACCACCAGAAAGACCCTGCTGGAAATAAGTCTTCTTCAGACTTTCGTAGGTTATTCTTGGTGTTTACACCGAATAAATCCAATCCAATCCAGAAGATTAGATGAGGAGACGCTAGCTTGCAAAATAAGGTGAACATGATTTGAGGTGAGTTTGAACTATTTAAGTGTTGTGATTTTTTTTGGCTTCAAACAATTTCAATGAGGGGATACTGAGGACCGAGTATTTCTTTTGGGGATGGGGCGGGGTCGTCTGCATGACGCTGAGGTTGCCTTGTATAAAAGTTTTTCTCATATGTAAATTATATATTAATAATTATTGGTCTTTAATAATATTAGAAATTATGTTTAATACTAACCTCAATGACCCAAGTACAATTCGAATATGGTGGATATGTACCTGAACGTTGAGGTGATGAGAATATTCCTGATGTACCATTAAATCTGTCGCCGCATTCAAAAGAAGGGACCTGTCTGGATTGAACTGTTTTATAAAAATAAGTCATGATATAAAACAGTACATAAACGTACAATTGACATACAAATGCCTTTTTAGGTCTATAAATCTTAAAGTAAAAAGGAATTTTCACATCTTAAACAATAATAGTTATTTAAGGTAGCCTATTGTTTTAATTTTTAATCCCTTGTAAACTTTTTAAAGCAAGTCAGTACTATATTATGTTTTATTTATTTTATATCTGCAGCTGGTTTATTTATGTATAGATTGTTTGCAGAATGAATGTAATAAGTTTTAAAGAAAGAATGAAAGAAATAAGTTTAAATGACCTGGGCAACCGTCTTTGTATTGTCACCCTCCTATCTTTTGAGCGATTTAAAAGCCAACAATAACACCGTAAAACCTCGAAATTAAAGCCCAGTCGGCTTAATCTCGAGATGAAGCCCATCTCGAATCGAAGCTCCCTCTTTAGTCTGCAAAGTTAGCATCAAAAGGAAGCCAATCTCGAAAAGAAGCCCATGCGCTTCTCTTCAAAATATCATTTTGCCATGGGCTTCTTCTCGAGATAGTACAGTACATACTGTGCATGAATTTCAGGAAACAAAATAAATTTAAAACAATGTTGGTTTATACATTAGTTTAGGTGATTTAATGCCAGTTAAATATAGGCTACTTCATAATACAGATTGATGTTACAATGACCTTACTTATTGTTTAATTGTACAAAAATTTACAGCATTCATTTTGAAAAGAAGCCCCACCC